ATAGGAACCTTGGCCACACCATGCAGGTGCCAAATGAATGTTAAAAAATGTCTTCCCAGCCACATCAGTGGCCGTTTCCTGTAGGCATGGTCAGATGTGGGTCACCATTTCTTCCTCTAAACCATACAGGTAGCCATTCTTCAAAAAAAATTGCATTTTGGAATACTGCTGAATAAATAAATGGCTTTGATCTACACTGGCATTTGATCAGGAAAGTGAAAATTAGATCAACTGAATCAACGATTAAACACATCAATTGCAGGTAAAAATCCCGCATGGTAAACATGATATCTGTCATATGAATACATGTATAAAGGCTCACTAAATTAAAGGCCAGAATTTAAAAGCAATGTTTAAAAAACATACAATGTTTGAACTTTGTCAAAGATTATTTTAAGTGCTACTGCTTGTATATGAAAGTTGAAAGGAATGCTAGGAGTGGGTGAACATAAAAAGAAGTCGATAAATAATCTGTGGCAAAAGCTAAAGCAATTAAAGACGAAGTGAAAAAATAACTTTGATGTTTGGTGTACCAGCACAGCCTATGCAAAAGTGGGCACTATTACATGAATTTGTTTCCTTGGTGTCTTGGTTTTTAGGCCTGTTCCTGGGATTATTTGGGGTGATGGCCAGAAAATTGTATTGGATAGACTGCATCAGCTCTAGTTTCATAATCCAGATTATCTTCTTTGAATTGGATTATATGGCAGTGTAGACTCATATAATACAGTTCAAAGCAGATAATGTGGATTATCTGATTTCATAATATGGATTATATAGCAGTGTTGATGGGGCCTCAAAAATAGGTATAACTACTGAGGCATCACAATGTGTAGTAACCATTTCCCCTCCCTGCTAAGTCCCCTGCCCTGCTCTTCTTACACAAGCACCTTTTTATTTAAATATACATTTGATTGACTGTTTATGCAGTCATGTTTCAAAATGTTTTTCATTGTTTTAAGTATTGATTTTTCAGTATAGCACAAGTTAAATATCCCTTATCAGAAATACTTATATCCAGAAGAGTTTCAGATTTTGTTGTTATTTTTTTAAAGATTTTGGAATGGTGTCTTTGAACATACAGTATTACATAATGGAGTATCTTGGAGAGGGAGCCCAACCCTAATTATCGCATTCATGTATGTCTCATGCTCACCTTAAACATATTGTCTGAAGGGTTTTTTCCCCAATATTTTAAATAATTTTCTGCATGAAATAAAGTTTGTTTACATTGAAGCATCAGAAAGCAAAGGTGTGACTATCTCAGGTATCCATCTGGACAGATTTTGGAGTATTTCGGATTTCAGATTTTCAGATAAGGAATACTAAACCTGTAGTTTAATTCTTTAAACTTGTAATACATGATATTTTAATCTAGTGGTTCTCAACTCATGAGCCCCCAGTGTTTTGTCCTAAAACTCTCAGAAATCCCAGCCAGTTTACCAGCTGTTAGGATTTATGGGAGTTGAAGGCCAAAACATCTGAGGACCCACAGGTTGAGAACCACTGTTTTAATCCATGATTTGACCCATATGATGAGATGTGACAGTTAAGTCATTCCTTAGAACTTTTAGACAGCTACACTGAAATTTTACCAAACAATTGTTTCTAATTTTCCAGTCGCTTAATATAAACTTTGTATTCTTTCTCCAAGAGCAGTTCTTCAGGTGTTATAAGAGCTAATTGTTTATTGCTGGATCAGCAAGAGACAAAACAAACATCAAATGTATCTTTAACTTTCTAAAAATGTTATGATGACACTACTGTTAACAGTAATGAAAATAATTACTTAAGTATATACTCTAGTCCAGTGTTTCTCAAACTGTACTTCTCCAGTTGTTATGGACTTTCAGCTCCCAGAAATCCCAGCCAGCTTACCAGTTGTTAGGAAATGTGGAAGCTAAAGTCCAAAACACATGGAGGAGCACAGTTTGAGAAACTCTGCTCTAGTCCATCTTGGGGCCCTTCCACACAGCCATATAACCCAAAATATCAAGGCAGAAAATCCCATAATATCTGCTTTGAACTGGGTTATCTGAGTCCACACTGCCATGTATTCCAGTTCAACGTTGATAATGTGGGATGTTTTTCAGCTGTGTGGAAGGGGCCTCAATGACAGTGAAACTGGTAATGCTACAAGGTATTATCACAAAATATTACTTTTTGATGATGCTTCAATGAACATGACATATATATTTTTCTTAATAGTAATTTCACTGCATGGATAAGACTTTCTTACTTTGGCAGACTGCAATTCCAAATGCACTGAACATCACCAAAGCCATAACAATGATCTGAAGGTTCATATTCACTTAGTATCTTAGGTATAGAAATTGTGTAAGGACTCACGAATATTAGATCTATGATATTGAGCATACTTCATATCACCTACGATGCAAATAAAGCACAGAATATAGGAACCAAGAAACCATGGTATGAATTCCAGTTCAACCATAGAAATGCATTGGGGGCCCTTCCACACAGCCATATAACCCAGAATATCAAGGCAGGAAATCCCACAATATCTGCTTTGAACTTGGTTATGAGTCCACACTGCCATATATCCCAGTTCAAAGAAGATATTGTGGGATTTTTTACCTTGATATTCTGGGTTATATGGCTGTGTGGAAGGGCCCTGGGTGGCGATGGACAAGTAACACTCTCGCAACCTTAAAGGAAGACAATGGCAGATCTCCTAATAAATCTTGTCAAGAAAACTCTATGAGAAGTTGCCAAAAGATGGCAATGACCTCAAGGTACATAACAAGAATATCTGACTTACTTCCTTGTTTCAGAATATGAATGGGTGCATCACAGGAAGTGCTTCCTTATTTTGGCTAAACCAATATTTGATTTATGTTTCTACATCTACAGAAGAATGTTTTTGCATGCATTGAAGGCTGTGTGATTTTATCAATACAGTCATAGAATTACAATCAGACATAGGGCTCTTCCACACACAGCCTTATATCCCAAAATATCAAGGCAGAAAATCCCACATTATCTGAGTGTGGACTTAGATAACCTAGTTCAAAGCAGATATCGTGGGATTTTCTGCCTTGATATTCTGGGATATAGGGCTGTGTGGAAGAGCCCTGGGATATGCTTTCCAAAAAAGGAATCACTAACACATAAAGCAGTTTAAAAACTGGCCTAATAGTTTCTGGAATACCTATCTTTATGAATCTGAACTTTTATTTTATATATCTTGACATCAACCTTGTAAATCAAGTCTACTTCACAGCTTGATTTGTAATGCATTACAAGGCTTGCATTCAGATCATTCTCTTTTTTCCCCAGAAAAAGGTAAATCCTTAGGTTCAATTATCCAGGAAGAAATAAAATCTGGTTTGCAGGAATCTGTGCAAGATTCCAAAAGTTGGTGTGTGGTGGCAATAAATAAAATGTTGGAATGCCTTTAAACCTTGGTCCTATAAAGGTTTTCTTTTCCTGTGCAAATACCATTGATAAATATACTGCAACATCAACAAACCAAACAGTAATGAACACTCTACATAATTCAAAAGATTAAACTTTCTCGCTGACCTTAAAAAAGTATCTTCTTTCTACTCAAAGAATATATTTAAATATAAGACTCATTGCTGAAACCACTTTCACCTAACTATGCTGCCATTTCCCTGCATTTGAAAGTTCACGACTGACCTTAAAACATGCCTCATTTAAAACATGTTTTTTTCAAAAAGCAGAAGCTATGTTTTAATATTCTAAATCCTGTGTCCTTATACCAATTTCAGCAACTATGAAAACAAAATTTCCTGCACCACAGCCCTGTAATTATTTTTATCAAAACCACCAAGGTGGTGCACAGCATATCTAAAGCAATGCAATAAAACCATTAAATTAAAGAACATCAGCAAAGCAGTTTAAAACATTTACATAATCCTAAATAAAGCCAAATACAAAGTACCAGATGAAAAATAAGATCCACTGCTATGATGATATTATAAACCTCAGCCACCCCATCTTCAATTTATGTGGGAAATGGTCATACTGACTCACACTATTTGTCAGTATGCCACTGGAAAGAGAGCAGACACAATATATGAATTGACATAAGCCACATCACATTTTATGTAGGTGAATTACGCATCCAGTATAAATTACGTCAATATGCAGTCATTTTAAAATCCACAGGGGTCAATTCAAGTCTAGCTATTCCAAACACTTAAGAAACTTGGTCAGTTGATGTAACTACACTATTTACATTTATGTTTGTTTCTCAGAATGAGATCAGGAGATAATTATATGACTTCGAACTTACCATGTAAACCATGCATGGGCAAACTACCAGCTGTTAGGAATTGTGGGAGTTGTAGTCCAAAACACCTGGAGGGTGTAAACCCTCCTCTCCAAGCAGTACCTTCTTACAACACATACATTTGTTACTATCACTACAACTACCCCTTCTCATTTTCTTTATCCTTCATTATTATATCAAAATGAAAGCAGAAAAGGAGTCACTCTCCTTTCTTAATCCTAAAATTGTTCTTGAGCTCCAAAGAGTTATGTTTCAACTGATAAAATGGGAAAAATTATAATGATTATGACAAATTTCTCAGATAGAACAGTAATGGAGAGTCTGTGGGCACATTATGTACTCTCTAACCATATTAAATGATAGTTCAAATTCACTTTAAAAGTGGAGAGACAAGCAGTATGATGGCATCACATCACACAATAAACTCAAGTAGACCATGTCAGTAATAGCATAAGACGTGACACAGGGAAGAGGAATTTACATCGCTCATCACATATAGACCAGGGATTCTGAAACTATGGACTTTACAATGTCCTGATCTTAAATTCATGGAAACACCAGTGAATTTTGGGATTGGTATTCTAGGAACTAATATCCAAAACAGTGAGGATGAAAGTTCAAGAACCACCAATCCATATGAACATCAACTTCAGATATTATTTTACAAAGCAATACTGTATTTGACTTTTTATAGTTAGAAAAGAAGAAGTGCAAGTCTCACCTCCCACATCAGCCTGCAGTCTGTGTCTTCATCCAGCTCCTGTGGCATTCTCTTCTCGCCTGCAAATGGCCCAAATTTTTCACCCTAAATAATGACACAGGGAAATCAACATTGGCAGTATGTTTCTAACATTGTGTTTCACATATCTATCATAACATATCTATAATTATAATTATATCTACCTACCTACCTACCTACCTACCGATATCTATTATGGTCAAGCAATGGCTGCAATCCAACATCCCTCACCATAGCATAAATATGTGCTGATACCCTAGGCCAGCACTATATAACTCCCATAAAAAATAGAACATCCAGCAACACATGCCAATGACTAGGTGTCATATTCTGCATCTGCTTTTGTCAGCACAATATGTCTGCTACACCAGTGGTAAAAAATTCACTGCACCACAAGGTACTTACTGTGACTTATGCATGCATATATCTCTAATTTATGGTTACACCAACTTAATGTGTTCTGTATAAGTTGGATCAAAATTCAAGTGACTCCAAACCAAGCTGTAGGTGGAGTTATAGTACAAACTCACTTGAGTAAGCCAACTTGGGACCAATCTATACGTCATAACAAATTAGTGATATAGTAATTTCACATTTCAAAGTGTAAGAGTGACAATATAGTAATTCCACTTTCAAATTCAGATGGCAGGTCTCCCATGGTATATTGTTCTTGTGTGCCTCCAAGTCGATTCCAACTTGTGGCAACCTGAAAATAAACCCATTGTGGGATTTTCTGAGGCTGATAAATTCTGTATGTTTTTAAGTTTGTATTTGAAGTTCTTCCTCTCTCACACATCATTTCTTAAAATGTATGAGTTAAGTAGTTGTTCCTCCTTCCTATTTTGGAGGGGAAATGCATAGTGATGTATATGACAGTGGCATCAATAGGGTTTATGTCACTTATAGTGCAGTAACTCATAGTGCTATCACCATCAGGCCTGTAGCAAGGGGGTGGTTTTAGGGGTTCAACCCCCCCCCGAAATGTTTCAGATTTTTTTTTAAAAAAAAACCTGGTTTACTCATGAATTTTAACTGGTTAACCAAATCCCCATGCTAAGTCTATGAGATGCAAAAAATTAAGAGTCCCTCCAGAACTGTAAGCACTATCTCAAGCAAATATTAACAATTTATTCACACTGTCATTACTTGCAGCAATAGCCGATGTAGTGAAGCAACCAAGTTGGGTGTGTGTGTTGAATGCTCTCATTAAGGAGGCCAGACTTGGTGGAGGTGGTTGACAGGGGTGGAGCTGCAGGCTATGGAAGGCTGCTCTGCCCCCTGCTGTGCTCTTTGCTTCAGCGTGAGCTAGGAGGCAGGTTTCAACCCCCCCCAAATTTTCAACCCCCCCAAATTTTAACCCCCCCCCCAAAATTTTCACCCCCCCCCCCCCCCCGAAATTGTCAACCCTCCCCGAAATTTTTTTTCTGGCTACGGCCCTGATCACCATGGATCTCCTCCAGTACCAGACCATAAAGAATGGTCCAGTGGTAAATACATACAAGTATTCAGATGTTTTGTCTGACAAACCAAAAAGGAGCTCTGGATTTTGGCATGCCGTCACCATGAAAACATCAAAAGAACCCATAAAGCTCCCATAAAATACTTAAAGGGATGGAGATGTAATCACAGACACACAATATCATGAGATGACTCTTTGGCAAGCACATTACTTTTTCAGGGTAACATAAACATCTCAGTGTGCATATAAGATTATACACATGACTTTAAACTTCTGTATGGGTATACAGTAGAGTCTTGCTTATCCAAACAGAAATGGCCTGGCAATATGTTGGATAAGCGAAAATGTTGGATAATAAGAAGAGATTAAGGAAAAGCATATTAAACCTCAAATTACATTATAGTTTTACAAATTTAGCACCAAAACATCATGTTTTACAGCAAATCAACAGAAAAATCAATTCAATACATGGTAACATTATGTAGTAATTACTGTATTTACGAATTTAGCGCCAAAACATCGCAATGTATTGAAACAGCTGTGGAGCTGGGCAGGAGGCAGACTGCATTGGATAATACAGAAAGTTGGATGAGCAAAGGTTGGATAAGCAAGATTGTCTACTGTATTGCCAAAGAACCAAAATTGGTTCTAATTACTTGACATTTTACATATTCCAGAGAAAGGCAATTTGGATGATGCCACATGATACTCTTCAGGTGTTTTGGCTTCCTTAATGTATGAAAGTATGAAGTGGCAACTTGAGGTGTAGATATATCTAGAAGCACAAGATAATAAGGAAGTATGCCATAAAATACAGCAGCCAGACTTTGGTTGCCTGAAGACATAGAAATGATAGCCACCTTTTTCAGCTGTGGACCACTTTGCCCTATGCAGCATAACTGAAGGCTTGCAATGTCCATGGTGCTCATTTCTGTATTACTTTTTTTCTGGCTCTGGAAACCTAACTGCTGAAAGCCACCAGCTGCACATTTTGCATGACCTAAATGCCCTGGATTTGCATGATATCAATGGAATTCCTGCCCCAAGGCAAAATAGTTCTTCCTGAGAATGGAGTTTTGGTTTGTTTTAAGTTTTCAGTTGGAGTTCTTCATCTCTCACATACTACTCCGTCAAAATTAATAAATTAATTGTTTCTCCTCCCTAAATCATTTGGGAAATCAGTGTTCAAATATTGAAATATTGTTGCATGTGTCAGTGGCATCACTAGGGTTGGTGTCACCTTTAGCACCATAATGCATAGTGTCTCCCTCATGGAACCTTAGTAATGCTTTTTGTATTAATGTTACTCGTTAATCATTATTAATAAATTTGACAAAATCCATGAGGGTTTTTTATTATAAAGAAGCAATGAAACCAACAAGCTTGCAGCTCATGAAAACAAACCCGTGTGATTGGGGCAGTGTCAGTTGTCCAGATCACATTGTGTGATCCTTTTTAGCTCTCTCACAATCAAAGCAATAATGAGAACTCTGTCTGGAACAAATGCACATTAGAAAACAAAAAAGTAAATTAGCAGAATATTAGACTCATGGATATTGGCTTGATGTGCCTTCCTCTTGGCACATTTCTCTCTTTCGCCCTCCATTCATGCCTCTTCAAATTCTGCATTACTGCTGGTCACAGCTGACCTCCAACTGGAGCGCTCAAGGGCCAGGGCTTCCCAGTTCTCAGTGTCTATGCCAGAGTTTAAAAGGTTGGCTTTCAGCCCATCTTTAAATCTCTTTTCCTGCCCACCAACATTCCGTTTTCCCTTCCTGAGTTCGGAGTAGAGCAACTGCTTTGGGAGACGGTGGTCGGGCATCCGGACAACATGGCCAGTCCAGCGGAATTGATGGCGGAGGCCCATCGCTTCAATGCTGGTGGTCTTTGCTTCTTCCAGCACGCTGACATTTGTTCGCTTGTCTTCCCAAGAAATTTGAAGGATTTTTCGGAGGCAGGGCTGATGGAATCATTCTAGGAGTTGCATGTGACATCCGTAGACAGGCCCATAGCCAGGATTTTGATTCGGGGGGGGGGGGGCGGCTCAAGATCTATCCTAGCAAACCTTTTATATCATTTTCCCAATACCCCCATTAGATCTACCCTAGCAAACCTTTTGTATCATTATCCCAATACCCCCATGCATATGGGATACATTGAGCATGGTGATCAGATCATGATATGAATAAACATAACAGTTTAAATAATGTACCAGCAAGGCCTTCTCGTGGACCACCATGAGAATTTCGGGGGGGGGGGCTGAAGCCCTTCAAGCCCCCCTCCCCCGGCTACGGGCCTGTCTGTAGATAGTCCACATCTCGCAGGTGTATAGCAGGGTTGGGAGGACAATAGCTTTATAAACAAGCATCTTGGCGTCCCTATGGATGTCCCGGTCCTCAAACACTCTCTGCTTCGTCCAGAAAAATGCTGCACTCACAGAGCTCAGGCGGTGTTGTATTTCAGTGTCAATGTTGACTTTTGTGGAGAGGTGGCTGCCAAGGTAGCGGAAATGGTCAACATTTTCTAATGTTACACAAGAAGTTCTATTTCTGGCATTGGAGAGGGATTGGCTGGTGACTGCTGGAAGAGCACTTTGGTTTTCTCGATGTCCAATGACAGTCCGAGCTTCTCATATGCTTCTGCGAAGGTGTTTAGAGTGGCCTGTAGGTCTTCTTCTATAGGTCTTCTCCACTGGCTGCCGGTTCAGTTCCGAGCCCAATTCAAGGTGCTGGTTTTGACCTACAAAACCCTGTACGGTTCCGGTCCAGTGTATCTGTCCGAACGTATTTCCCTCTATGTCCCACCCCGGTGTTTAAGATCATCTGGGGGGGGGGGCTGCTCTCGACCCCACCACTATCCCAAGTGAGGCTGGTGGGGACGAGGAGCACGGCTTTCTCAGTGGTGGCCCCTCACCTGTGGAACTCACTCCCGGGGGAAATTAGGGCATCAACATCCCTCCTCTCCTTCAGGAGGAAGGTAAAGACGTGGTTGTGGGACCAGGCCTTTGGGCAATCTGACAACTAGATATGGACAACCAGATGGATAGGACTGACAGGACTGACAATTGTGGAATTGGAATTTGAACTATGAGATAGCGAACGCTGACCGGCAACAAGGAGTAATTGGTTTGTATGGGTTTTTTATTGGTCTTATTGGTTTTATCGGTTTATAGATGTAATGTAGAATTGTGGTTTGATTGCTAATTTATGCTATTTTGTTTTATTACTGTTGTGTAATATGGGCATCGAATTGTGCCTTGTTTTTGTAAGCCGCCCTGATTCCCCTGTGGGGTGAGAAGGGCGGGGTAGAAGTAAACCAAATAAAAAATAAAATAAATAAAATGTGCACAGACAGCGTTGTCATCAGCATATTTGAGTTCTATAACAGATATTGGAGTTCTATAACAACCTACCAGCTGTTAGGATTTGTGGGAGTCGAAGTCCAAAACACCTGGAGGGTCCAAGTTTGCCCATGCCTGGTCTACACACAGTAGAACTAATGCAGTTTGACACCACTTTAACTACCAAGGCTCAGTGCTTTGGGATCCTGGAAGATGTGGTTAGGGAGCGCATCAGCACTTATATCAGAGAAGTCTAAGGAATTAGTAAAACTACAGCTCCCACAATGCATTGAACCTTGGGAGATATTATAGAACAGTGAGTTGGGAGTTGTACACAGTCTTTAGCCTTCTCTGCCCCACCAAACAATGAGCCAAGGCAGCTAAAGTGGCCTCAAACTGTATTCATTGACATACAGTGTAGAGGAACTCAAGGGAGTCGAGGGAAGGACCTCCTCTCCTACGTGGCAGGCTCTCTCTGTGTGTCTCAGAAGAGCCTCTAGTTTTGGGACGCTCCATTCCTGCCTGAGGGGGAAACTGACCAATTAGAGTGACACCCCTCTCTCCCCCCCCCGCCTCCAGTGTACAGTAGTTTGCGCCACACACACACATCTACAGAGGCGCCCCCACAACTCCCCTCCCTTGGTTTGGCCCACTCAAGTGAGGAGGAGGAGGAGGAGGAGGAGGCTCACCCACCTTTGTCACTCGCCGGGCCGTAAAGAGCCCCATCCCGTCTTGGATGTTAGACGACTTCAGGGCGAACCTGTCCGGCACGTACATGCCCAGCATGGTTGCCCTGAATGGGGCACCAAAGGAAGGAAGGGGGGGGGGAGGCCAGAAGGGGGAAGAGCCAAGGAGAGGAGCGCGAGCTCTTCCGCGCGAGGGGGGGCGGGGGGCTGCGCGCGGCCAAAGCTCTGCTCCCATTGGTTGAAAGTTTGCAAGGAAAAGGAGGGGGCGACGACGCAAAGAAGGAACAGCGAAGGATTCCGGGATTGCTTGGATCAGTGCAAGTTTTCCAGAGCAGAGCCCCTCCCCCCCCCCCCGCATCCTTTGAGTGGTATGTGCCCCCGCTCCTTTGGACCGGGGGCACGTACCGCTCAAAGGATTGGGGGAGGGGGCTCTTTGGAGAATCTTTATACAATGATTAATTACTGGCTGAGCGAGATAGGAGTGTCTCTACTCCACTAGAATGGATACCGTTTGGCATCAATGTATTGTTAAAGGCTTTCATGGCTGGAATCACTGGTTGCTGTAAGTTTTTTTGGCTTCAACAGACCTCACAACCAACAGACCTCCAACAGACCTCACAAACTCTAAGGATGCCATAGATGTGGGCGAAACATCAGGAGAAAGTGCTTCTGGAACATGGCAATACAGCCAGAAAAACTTACAACAACCCAGTTTGGCATCACTTGAACAATTTTAGACAATCTCAACAGAAAGGAGGAAACCATGAAAATGAATCACATCTGGCTACCAGTATTTTTATAAACAACTCTAAAATCAGGTCAATAAAGAAAGAACAACATTCAACAAACAGGGGAATTAGAGACAAGAAGCACTCAGGGCCAGCTAATCACCTCCTGACAAAGGATTCCCCCCAGACAGGAAGAAGCCAAGCTTTGAAGCTGCAAGGCTACTCATTGCTAATCAAGGTGATTAATTGCAGCATTAACAGAATCATTGAGTTGGAAGAGACCTTGTGGGCCATCTAGTCCAGCCCCCTGCCAAGAAGCAGGAAAATTGCATTCAAAACACCCCTGACAGATGGCCATCCAACCTCTGCTTAAACGCCTCCAAAGAAGGAGCCTCCACCAAACTCCGGGGCAGAGATAGTCACATCTGCCTCCAACAAACTAGAGTATTTTCTTCCACCCCGGATATTCCACAGGTATTTAAACCCCACTTGCCTTGTTTCCAACAGACCTCACAACCTCTGAGGATGCCTGACATAGATGTAGGTGAAATGTCAGGAGAGAGTGCTTCTGGAACATGGCCATAAAGCCCAGAAAACTCACAGCAACCCAATCACTTGAACGGTCATGGAATTTGCAAGAGTGTTCTTAATGGCTTTTGCCTTTTCTGCCCAATAGTGCTGGTGCCTCACCAAACTGCAACTCACACAATTCCAGTTAAAAGTGGCATTAAACTGCATTAATCGTGCAGTGTAGATAGATCAGGGGTCCTCAAACTTTGGTTCACAGTCCCGCAGACTGTTGCCTAAGAAGATCATATTGTGAGAGCTTGCACTAATGAAGGGTATATGAATATGGATTTCTGTTACAAATGATTGTGGCATTTTCTCTCTCTGTGCCTAGTTTCCACTGCTGGAATGGGCTTTTGAGGCACTGTTTTACTGAAAGGACAAGTCAAGGCAGTGGTGTCGGGAACTTCTGGTCAACTTCCTAGTCTTTGGCTTGTAGTAGCTCCAAGCTCTTTCCTTCCTCTCTCTTTCTCTTTCTTAATCTCACTCTCTCAACACCATCATTGATAACTAGACCCAAAGAGAAAGGGTTGAGGCTCTGATGGTAGGAATTGGTCTTACACCCAGCAGCTTTGTGTCACTATGTGATTCCTGCTTTGGTCAGACCTCACCTTGAATACCACATCCAGTTCTGGGCACCACTATTCAAGAAGGATATTGAAAAGCTGGAATGTGTCCAGAGAAGGGCAACCAAAGTGATCAAAGGTTTGGAAACCAAACCCTGTGAAGAATGACTTTGGGAGCTGGAGATGTTCAGCTTGGAGAAGAGAAGACTAAGGGGGGACCTGATGGCCATATTTAAATATTTGAAAGGATGTCACATTGAGGAGAGGATAAGCTTGTTTTCTGCTGCTTTGCAGACTACAGCACAGAGCAGTGAAATCAAATTGCAGGAAAAGAGATTCCATCAGGACTTCCTGATGGCAAGAGCTACTCAACAGTTGAACATGCTGCCTCAGAGTGTGGTGGAGCCTCCTTCTCTGGAGGTTTTTAAACAGAGGCTGGATGGCCATCTGTCAGGAGTGCTTTGGTTGTGCATTCCTGCAAGGCAGAGGTTGAACTGCATGGCCCTTGTGGTTGCTTCCAACTCTATGCTCTAGGTTTTAGTCTGAAAATTGTTCATAATGTTACTTGAAATGGATTCAGCACCTTGGATAGCTCTTTTAATGTTCAGATTGAAAGGCATTGCAGATCCACTGAGGATCAGCTGTCAATATTGCCCACACCTACCAGACATGGCAATTGCCGTTTCTCACCGAGTATAGAGGTGGCATGTACTTAAATCCTAATACTATAACATTTGGAAGCAGAGTGCACATGGTGAGAGGATAAAGTAGGTCATTGTGTGTGGTCACCTTTCTGTATTGCACTGCCCAGAAGAAAACATCAAGAAGTAGGCAGAGGCATATTTTCATTCTTTCTCTGAGAAGCATCAATGGTTGAAACCCCTTGTGAAGACAGACTGAGAAAGAAGGAGAAGGCAGGAGCTGTTGTTTTGTTTCCTTGTTTGCCTGTTTACTTGCATGTTTCAATAAAGGCGTTGTCAACAATTACATAAACCTTTGCACATTTCCGTATGTCATAAATGGGAAATGTATAGTCCTCCAAATGTTTTGGATTGCAACTCCTATATGCTTTGGCTAGCAAGAGAAAATAACAACGTTCCTCCAGCAATTTATGAAGGACCGCATGTTCCCTATCTCTGACTGTGCATATTCCTTTATGTATTTTTTGTAATATTTATATGGGGGTTTTTGCCAACTTCCCTGGAAATTGACTGGTTATTGAAGGGTGGAACTAGGACTCTGTTTGTTGCAATAGTAGTAATAAATCTAAGTTATTGCTGTTTTTTGGTTGCTCAAAACTTGATTTCTTAATCTTCCATTTTCCAGGAGGCATTTCACATAATCCCAGGATTCAATTGTTTCAGGAGAAGACAACTTACAGAAAACCCTCTTGCCAAATACTTCTCTACATAGTAAAACTAAATACATCTTTAAAGACAAAGTATCCCCAATTGGAACATTACACTTTGGATAATATTATACCTAGTCCCAGTTTGAACACGAAGTTGTAAATCACTTTGGGTTATTTTGCTAATACTGTACATTATACACAAGCAGGTTTGTGAATGACAGTGGGACCTGAAAGTGAACTCACTCTCTTAAACAGATTAATTTAAGAAGGGAATTCAATCCAGAGTGCTTGTATTATTGCTTTAGTCTGTACACAGTTTATCAAAGTGCAGATTGGAGTTGGCCAAAGATTGCTCTTTCCCCAATAGAGAGATGTATTTGTTTAGATCTGATTTTAAAAACTTTGAAAGAAAAACAGTGCATCTAGAGAACACAAGAGCTGGGGGAGGGAAGATTCCAACAGTATTTAAAATTCTGTACTTAAAGAAGTATGCTTACATTGTCTAACTTTAATTAGCAGGCTGCTCTCTGGATTTGTTATTTTGGCTTCTGCTTTGTTCCAAACACCTTCCCTTACATAGCTACTCTTTCAAGTAAGCTAAAGGGTATAATTACGTCACTGCTTTTGCTGTCATGTTGAGACAGTTCCAGATGAACCAAGTATTTAAAGGTCTTTGTAACTTCTTTTCAAGCCAGAGATAAGAGGAGCACACAACATGGCCTTACAATGCAAATCTTTTCCGGTTTATCTCAATGTATAGACATTTTCTAATGTTCCCCTTCCAATCACCTCCATTTTTAGTTTCCAGAGATCCAGATAATTTCAGAGTACATTCCCATTCATGTCCAATGCCACACCATTTTATAGATTAGCAACCAATATCCTTGAATCTTTTGGCAATCCCACATAGCTCGAGGTTGATTGTCTTCCAGATGTGGTGTCTTGGCGATGGGTGCGTGGGTGGCTGTGGAGCCCTATTCTTGATCAATTTGTTCTATCACAGTGAGGACATCGGTTTACAGATTGAAGGCGGTCCCAGTCAGGGTTGGCTTGATGTGCTTTCCTCTTGGCACATTTCTTCATTTTGCTCTCCATTCATGCCTCTTTGAATTCTGCAGCACTGTTGGTCACAGCTGACCTCCAGTTAGAACGCTCAAGGACCAGGGCTTCCCAGTTCTTGGCGTCTATGCCACAGTTTTTGAGGTTGGCTTTAAGCCCATCTTTAAACCTCTTTTCCTGTCCACCAACATTCTGTTTTCCGTTCCTCAGTTCGGAGTAGAGTAACTGTTTTGGGAGACAGTGATCAGACATTCAGACGTGGCAGGTCTAGAGGAGTTGATGACATAGGAGCACTGCTTCAGTGCTGGTGGTCTTCGCTTCTTCCAGCACACTGACATATGTCCACCTGTCTTCCCAATAAATTTGCAAGCTTTTTCAGCAGCAACGCTGATAAATCATTCCAAGAGTTGAGTGTGACGTTTGTAGACAGTCCACGTTTTGCAGGCATATAACAGGGTTGAGAGAACAATAGCTTTATAAGCAAACACCTTAGTATCCCTATGGATGTCCTGATCCTCAAACACTCTCTGCTTCATTCAGGAAAATGCTGCACTCGCAGAGCTCAGGCAATGTTATATTTCATGATTACCATTCCTGCATTAAAGCAATAATATGACCAAGAAAGGAATATGATAAATATTTTTAAAGGGTATCTTATTTTCTTCAAGGATCAGAGGAGTCAGTGCCAATGTCCTCCAAACTGTATCACCCATATTAAAGTTAGAGTTATGTTGGTGTCTATTAAACCCCTTTCTTCCTTCTTAGCTTGTGCTCATAGGGCTCAGAATAGTTGGAAGCAGAAGCAGAAGACCCAGAACAAATTGCATTCAACCCTGTTTAATGCAAAACAGATGTCCTACTGAATGTGAACTTTAAATTCTTTACAAGAACTCAAAG